AGCTTTACTGGTTATTGGTACTGAAATGGGACCTTTGAGAGCTGTTTACAAAGGTTTGGCCAAGATAGAGCAAGCTCATACTCTGGGCTGCTGGAAGGAAGCCAGAACCACGATAGAGAAACTAACACAGGTGAGGCACCAAGGGTCTTTGCCATTCCTCGCCCTAGAGACAGGGGGCTTTCTGAACGTCTGAGCTCTCTTTTGAGCTCGACTGTTAGGCCTTTCTGGGACTGTTTCACAATCCTCTGTTGAAATGTGTCACCTGAGCTAGGGACAGAAATTACACATAAATTGATATAAGTGATCAGAAACCAGTTCAAATCTGTAACACAAGTTCAGTACACACAAATTGCTTTCAAAGTGTTTGAAACTAGTTTAACATAAACCTGGATGGATGCAGTATCAGACTTAACTGATTTAGGCTAAATTGGTTTATTGAACTTCTGTCCCAGATCCCTTCCAGATTCAAGTTAACTCACAGTCCTCCAGCATCCCAGGATGCTTTGCACCTTCCCTACAACACCCCCCACCCCTCGCAGGGTAGGCAGGCTATCCTTGGCCCAAGCTGTCTGCTCCAGCAGGGAGGCATCTGGGCCACTCTGCAGGCATGCAGCTGCATGTTCGTTCACTTGCTTATCTGTTCTATCTACACAGCTTAGACCAACCTGCAAAGAATGAACTGATCTATCCTCGGGCTTTTTGACTGTCTGTACTTAGCCCTGATGACACTCTCCTAATAACGCTCTGCCTTGCTAATTTACGTAAGCAGACCAAAACACAAAACAGCTGCACTCAATTTGTTCAAATACAGATGATAGTATATGGGTAGTGCCTGTCCTGAGGAGCCCATTTAAAAGCAGTGGCATGAAACAATTCTGGTGAAATTCAGTAATTTTCTTCTTTTTTTTTTCTTTTGCAAAAAAAAATTCTCCTTTGTGCTCCTGTCATATTCTAGCAAATTATTCCATTTCAATTAAAAGATGCCAGCCATCGGTTCATGCATTCAGGTCTTTTTCTAAATCTGCTTCATTACAATGACACAGGGAGAGACCAAACTGTGCTTGAACTCAGGCTTAAGGGATAAAGGTGGGGCTATTGTAATAAGAGGCTGCAGCCTCATATATTCTATTTTCCAAAGCTGCTGGCAATTATTATCCCTATTCTTTGTGCCATGAGACTGTGGATAGGAGGTTTAAATCCTAAGGTTGCTATCTAGCTTTCTGGGTTGGGAAAGTTCACATTTCATGCAGAGACAACCTTTGGAAAGCAGTGGGGCTGTCAGGGAAGAGCTCTCCCATGTGTCCTTGTCCATAGTGAATCACCTGGAGAAACTGAAGAGGAGTGTGCAGACATTTGGCAGTGCTCCTCTCACAAAGCACAGGTAAAGCAGGGTTAAGCCAAGTGAATGTCAAAGCAGCAAGAAATACAGGTAGCGAAGAGGATCTCAGAGTTAGCACTGAACCAAAGCCCCAGAACCAAGGATTCTTCTGCTTAGAATCATAGAAAATTAAGGTTGGACGAGACCTCAGGAGGTCATCTAGCCCAATCCCCTGCATAAAGCAGGACAATTCCCAACTATACCATCCTAGCCAAGGCTTTGTCTACCCAGGTCTTAAAAAGCTCCAAGGATGGAAATTCCACCTCTCTGTGTAGCCTGCTCCACTGCTTTACTACCTTCCTTGTGAAAAAGTTTTTCCTAATATCTAACCCATGGATAACTGTTGCTGCCTTAGACAGGGGGGCACATGCCCCTCCCATGGCCGATCCTGCCAACTGGGGAGGGGGAGTCCCCACAGCCGATCTCGCTGCCCGTGGCCAATCCTGCGATGGCCAATCGCTGCGGCCAGAGCCATCCCTGGGGGGAGGGGGGCGAATCGGGGTGATCGCCCCAGGCCCCGTGCTTTGGGGGGCCCCGCAGAGCTGGGCAAAGCAGCGGCAGTGCAGAGCTAGGCAGAGCAGTGGCTCCACATCCAGCTGCTCGCTACCACCCCCCAATGGCAGCTGCAGCTTCTTCAGGTCTGGGGCCTATGGGATCAGAGATGGGGCAGGGTCTTGCGTGGGCTGAACTGCCCCGGGCTCGGGTTGGCTCTGGCTGTGACCACTCACTGCAGCCACTTCCAGGACTGGGTGCAGCTGCTTCTGGGAGGGGCTGCGGCGATTGGCCAGAGCTTGCAGGGGGGGCACTGGTGCTCCTGGCTGCGCCCCCTGCCCATCACCTAAGTGGTGAGCGCAGCCAGTCAGGGAGTGCACCGGCGCTCTCAGGGGGTGCACATGTACCCCCTACACGTTGCCACTGACCTAACCTAAACTTCCCTTGCTGCAACTTGAGCCCATTGCTCTTTTTTCTGTCATCTGCCGCCACAGAGCAGTCCAGCTCCGACTAAATAAGCCCAGTTCCCACAGCCTCTCCTCAGAAGTCATGTGTCCCAGCCCCCTAACCATTTTCATTGTCTTCTGCAGAACTGTTTCCAATTTGTCCGCATCCTTTCTGTGGTGGGGGGCCCAAAACTGGACACAGGACTCCAGATGTGGTCTCATCAGTGCCAAATAGAGTGGAAGAATCACTTCCCTCAATCTGTTGGCAATGCTCCTACTAATGCAGCCCAGCGTGTTGTTAGCCTTCTTGGCAACAAGGGTACACTGTTGACTCATCTTCAGCTTATTGTTCACTGTAATCCCCAGGTCCTTTTCTGCAGAGCTGCTACTTAGCCAGTCAGTCCCCAGCCTGTACTGGTGCATGGGATTGTTCTGCCCTAAGTGCAGGACTTTGTATGTATGCTACACAAGTCAAACCAAAACCCAGAGGTCTTGTCATTATTCAGCATTCTGAAAGTTTCCCAGTAACCTTCTGGTTGTTTCCAAAAGAACAGAATCACTTAGCACCGTGGCATCAAACATTTTTTCTGCAGCCAGATCCAATCTACAGAGCCACACAATCCAGTCTGCGGATTGCTGGAGCAATCCTATGTGCTGGCCCCTGCCCTGCATGCTGTGTGGTGCACAGACTAGACCCAGGGACCCATGTGCTGCATGCACTACAGGTGGGTCGCACGGGACACCACATGTAGCCTGGACCCCAGACCCCTCGTGCCATGTGCAGTTCCTGGTCCAGCCTGTGCACTGTAGGAAGCACATGGGGCCCTGGGTCCAGCCCATGTGCCATACCCATTGCCACATACCACAAGGAGCACGCACCAGCCTGGGAGTTTGCTGTGTACATGGCACCTGGGCCTGGCACAGGGCCTACACTGCCCATGGTGCAGGGAGTCTGGGGCACAGGCCTCATGCAGTAACCTAGACCAAACCTTGTGCTGCCTGCAGTGCTGGGTCCAGCCTGCGCAGTGTGCAATGCATGTCTCATGCCAGCCTGGGGGCCACTGTGTGTGGCACGTGGCCTGGACCCAGCACTGCAAATGCTGCATACACAGTTGGTTGGGTTCAGCCTGCAGACCCACAGGACTGGATGAGTTTGATACCCCTGATTTAACAGAAGGGACCTAGATAACTTCCAGCATAGTCTCTGCATAAATGCTCTCCTGTGTAACACTCTCTAGGACTACGCTCCCCGTCCCAATGAGCTTTGCAGTTGTTATGCACTGATGACTGCTTTGTTCCACCTCCTTAGAGAAGCCGACAACAAGATTCAAGTCAATAGTTCAAGTGCACAAGGCATCCTAAGATATTCAGGAAGAGATAGAGTAAGATAAAATAACCATATGTCCCAGTCTTGCTAGGATATTCTTGTTTTTTCACTCGATGTCATGGTGTTTGCCGAAATTCTCTGAAAACCTCTGAAATGTCCCAGGTTGTCATTCAAGTCAAAATGTTTGGGGCTTTCACAGTGACAAAATATTTGTTCAGGTCATTGCTACACTGCCAAAGTAGCATCTAGACCAACTGCACTCTCATCACACAGCGAGTGCATTTCACAGCCACCATTATTCAAGGCCAAAACTTTTCATGAATTGTCAGGCAGCACCATTACACAAGTCCATGATCCAATCTTCTCAATATAAACCCCTGCCCTGGTACGTCAGGGCGGAGGGCTGAGGAGGGGAAAGACTGGGTACAGAATGACCCTTCTGTCTGTTGTCTCCCTCATCTCTACAGCAAGTGGCACCACAGGGACTCAAGGAGCAGAGGATTTCTCAAGGAACCAGCGGAGTTGTTTGGCTGCTCCTGACAAGAGCTTTTCAGACTGAGACCATAACAGATCGAAGCAAGCAGTCACAGCCTGGAGGACTGGGATAATTTCAGGACCCCGGGGACTCTGCGACTGAAGTGTCTCTTTTTCTTTTAGAAATATGATCCACTTGGCACAAGAGTGTCATCATTTTTTCCTGTTGCGTCACTTCCAGCCAGCAAGTCATAACCCACTCCAGTAGTGCCCGAATCCAACCATTCCCCATCTGCCTTCTCAACTGCCCCAAATGTCCACAGACATAGCATACTGATATTTGTTCCTCAAAATAAAAACCCACAGATCAGCGCATCCTGTCCTCCAGGATCTTTGAGGAAGAGTTGTTCTACACAGGAAGCATCAACATTACCATGAACCAGGTTCCCTACAAGCTGCCGGCTGCCTGGGATTGCAAACCAAATACTTCGCAGTTTATAGGATATAGTGCTTGATGCAGTGTAGGAATAAAATCATTTACAAGGCAAAGATGCTGGATCTGAAATCCCAGAAAGCTGAGATACCGGGGAAGTGGACCGGAGCTTTGCCCTGACAGCAAGCCGCAAGTAAAAGAGGCAGATTTCAATACACTTGTACTGGCCAGGGTCTTCCTCTACGTCCAATTATATGGAAATCAACGGGGCTGCTCATGACGTAGAGTATTAATCAGCGTAAGGAAGAGAAATCAGAAGCTGATCCTTCACGTGTGTCTAGCACTGTGAAGAACTAGACTAGACATCTGCACTACTCCTCTGCTCCCCACCTTTTCATTGGCATGATGCGCTGCATCCCCGAAAGGAAGACAAATAAAAGATGTGCTCACCTGACACAAAGGCCACTTTCTCCTTCAGGATGGGAAGGACATCAGCCGCTTTTAAGCCATCGTTTCGAAAAGACCCTGCAAAACAGAGGGAAACAACAACGGCACATTAGAAGAGACGGCATCCTGGACGCGGCTTCCTAGACATTTCTCTCTGCGCAAATCAAACAACTGAAAGTGCTTTTCTGTAATTTCAAGACTATAATACAGACTCTAATCGCTGAGATGCAAACCGCATTCATTTCACTCGTACCTTATTTGTGAGAAGAAAGCTGGGGAGAATCTGCCCTTCCTTTCGCTGTTCTGCCAGGTCAATACATATCCAGCCAGAAAATCCAAATGTCTCCTTTTGCCCTATAGACCAGACATGTAGCCCTGCCGGGCTGCACAGGAGTGGAAGAGAGCACCAGGCCCCTTCCAGCCTCTGAGCCCAGCCCATGCAAAACTGCAGTGGGGTTGCATTCAGCAAACATCACCCCTAGAAATACATCACCTAGGGGGTTGGGTTAACACAGATCCTGCCCTCTTCTCCTTCAGCTGCAGCTAACACAGCTTTGTTGGATGAAGGCAAGAGTAAACTGGACGATGTCAAAGACTAGAAGGCCTCTTCCTATAGTGAGCACCCACCTGAGTTACCCAGAAATCCTCCAGAGACTCCAATTGCTGCAGGTCCCTTCCTGCCCCTAACAGCAAGGGCAGAAGCCCAGGGTCAAAACGTGGCCTTGTATCAATCCTGCTAAATTTGCAAGATAGTCCACAATGGGCTGCTTACCTTGCTTTGAAGCTTCATGTGGTTTCATCCCCTCAAGGGTTTTCACCAATAAATCACTGATTTTTCACTCACTTGGAAACATAATGAGCTCTGAAATGCCTTCTCTTTCAAAAGCCAAGAACACTTCCCTTATCTACCATGGGCCAATATTAATGGGCCATCCCACTGCAGACCAGACACTGCTATTCCATCAACTGCTGTTGGAAAAATAAATAGATGAGCGTCTGAAGGACATCTCTACAGTTGCTATAGTATACAGAGCATCTGTCACTGCCGGGTGAACACCCATCACAACGAGATAGCTGCAATATGGCTTTCCATCTACCACACGTCCACGGTCACCAAAGATTACTGCGTTCACTGAAACACTTTATTTCTAACTTCAACCTCTCTGACAGACAGGATCCCCTATTCATGTGAGAAAGAGGCAAGGGCATAGGGTAACCCTGTCACTTAGAAGTGCTTCTAATGATTGCCCAGAACCAAGACACTTTCACTCCAACCACTGTATGTGGCCGCTTTTGTATGATTCTCCACTCCATTTCCTCTTTTCTTGCTAAACCTAGCGTTGCTCCTAGAAGATTTTCAGTTGTCTGAGATTAAATGAGGAATAAGAAAATCATATTGTTGTGGCTCAGGCATTAGGTACTTACCAAAGATCTAGGATTTTGATACCTGCAGGTCTGAGAAAACAGCAGTTGGGAAAACTAGTTTCAGCGCATACCGTAACATGGCAGACTACCCAAATTTTGCCAGGACGAGGACCTTGCCAGGAATATGTCCTAAGAAATACCATTGTACTTAGTGTCTGTGTGAGCTTGTTTGCATTCATACATGCATAGACACACACAATTTTGTGCTATGGGTGACAGTCTAATAGGAAAGATGATTTGTGTAACACTGTACATTCACACTGTATTTGCTGTGTAACGTTCCTTTCTTTTATAGACACGTTTGTTTTCTTCTAGTGGCTGCCTGCTTCATGCATAACCACCTGCTACTTTCTTGTCGTTAACCGAGTTCTCCTCCAGATCAGGTGGTGGAAGCCTGCCTGCCCATTTTTGCTAAAAGGCTTAGGCCTAAACTCTGCTGACACAAGTGATATGAGTATACAGGCAACCCCCGTTTAACGCTGTTTCGCTAAGCGCTATTTCACTATAACATTCATTATAATTGATACCCGATTCCACTTAGCGCTCAGCAAGTTTCACTATAACGCTTGCGATCACCATCCTCGGTCACTAAAAGCACTTGCGGTCGCCCCCTTGGGTCGTCAAAAACTTTTGGTTTCGCTTAACGCTCATTTTTTCAGGAACCAATTAAGAGCCCTAAGTGGGGGTTGTCTATACACGTGGCCAGGGTGCATTATACTTGTTGCTATGTCTTCCTTGATAAATGAATGGGCACTGCTTGTTGGTTAAGCTCATCGGCAGTAGAAGGCAGCACGATGATAAAGTTTCCTTTCTTCCTGCAGTTGTAAGGAGGAAGAAGCCAGAAGTTTCATCTTAGCATTGGGTCAGACTGTATCTGAACAGTGGGATGCACTTTAGAAAGGTCGGCATATAAAATTCCCCTGGGTGTTCAGCCCACTGGGACAAAGTCCTGGTAGTGGCCAAAGCAGGTCACGTGGAGCTTCATGCATAGACAAGCAAGGGGAAGATTACTGCAGGGCTAGCATAATAGCACTAGAGATTGGGTCAAGCCTTGTTGCAGCTACTACCCTTCAGCTACAGTCAGTTCGACACGCACTTCTGCCCAAAGCCAAGGTGAAGGCAATGCTGCTCAGGAATTGGGACACTCTGAGCAGAGGGGCCTGGGGACGAGGTCTGGAGAGGGGACAGAGAGAAGGAGTCAGCTTCAGTACAGCCTGAAACAAACAGTGGTGCGTGACTCTGAAAGAAACCTATAGAGCAGGCTTTGGGCTTGGGAACGTTGTCTGAAAGCGTCTTGGGGCTGTGAGCAGGGGAACTGTCTCCGGTTGGCCGGTTCCTCTTGTGTGTGCTCAAGAAAGCAGGGTTTTGTAAGTCAGCAGGATCCTTGTAACTAAAGAGAAGTGCATCAAAGACACCCCAGCTCCACTACCAATTTCTCCTCCTTACCAGAAGGTAAGCTGGTACACCCCCAAATTTAGCTCTCCAGTCAGATCAAAAGAAGCAGCAGTTTCATAGTGCTTAGGGTCGGGAGGGACCCAAACAGATCATCAGGTCCGACCCCCTGCCCTGGGCAGGAACGAGTGGAGTAGATTAGCCTTTGGCAAATGCTGGGCTTTGCACATCCATTTCTCCACATTTTTACTTAACTACGCACAAACCAATGTACTAGGCAAGTGAATAAATGCAACAGTATGAATGTGCATGACCTGGATGGCTCAGAGCTGCAGGGGTGTACTTATAATCTTACAAAACAGCAGAAGAGTGTTCAATAGTGGTCAGAACAATGAAGAAAGAAGGTGGCAGTGAGCCAGTTGCCCAGCTAGTGCATTAAATGATGTTCCTGGCAGCACAAACCTTCGGTCTCTTTCTTTAGGGTAGGATTTCTCAAACATCAAAACAGCCTGCTATAAATCATAAGGTAAAACACATCCTTTCCCTTGACCCAGCACCCCTACAAACGAGCTTACCTGCTTCTGGAAGCTACCTCTTGGAATCATAGAAAACGAGGGTTGAAGGGACCTCAGGAGGTCACATCTAGTGCAACCCCCTGCTCCAAGCAGAACCAGCCCCAACAACATCATCCCAGCCAAGGCTTTGTCTAGCTGCGTCTTCAAGACCTCCAAGGATGGAGACTGCACCACCTCTCTGGGTAACCTGTTCCAGTGTTTTACTACCCTCCTAGTGAGAAAATTCTTCTTAATATCTAACCTAAACTTCCCTTGCTGCAACTTGAGCCCATTGCTCCTTGTTCCGTCATCTGCCACCACTGAGAAGAGTCCAGCTCCAGCCTCTTTCGAACCCCACCTGCTGCTATTAAGTCCCCTCTCAGTCTCCTCTTCTCTAGACTAAATAATCCCAGTTCCCTCAGTCTTTCCTCATAGGTCATGTGCTCTAGCCCCTGAACCATTTTCACTGCCCTCCGCTGGACTCTCTCCAATTTGTCCACATCCTTTCTGTAGTGGGGCGCCCAAAACTGAACACAGTACTCCAGGTGTGGCCTCACCAGTGCTGAATAGAGGGGAATAATCATTTCCCTTGCCCTGCTGGAAACACTCCTACCAATGCAGCCCAGTATGCCATTAGCCTTCTTGGCAATAAGGACACACTGTTGACTCATCTTCAGCTTACTGCCCACTGTAACCCCCAGGTCCTTTTCTGCAGAGCTGCTGCCCAGCCAGTCAGCCCCCAGCCTGCACCGGTGCATGGGATTGTTCTGTCCTAAATGCAGGACTTTGCACTTGTCCTTGTTGAACCTCATGAGATGCCTTTTGGCCCAATCCTCCAATTTGTCGAGGTCACTCTGAATCCTAGCCTTATCCTCCAGCGTATCTACTACTCCCCCCAGCTTGGTGTCATCAGCAAATTTGCTGAGGGTGCACTCTGTGCCATCTTCCAGGTCGCTGATGAAGATATTGAACGAAACTGGACCAAGGACCAACCCCTGGGGCATCCACTTGATACCGGCTACCAACTAGACAGAAAGGACAAGGGCCAGATTCTGCAGGCAATCAGGTGCCTAAAAAATGTATAAATACCTTTAAAAATCCCGCTCCCGCTGTCACCTGATCCCTGGCCTCAAGCCCATCACCTGAGGTACAACTATGGATCTAAGCCAATCTCCTACAAAGGACCAGCCTAACCCTTCACACCACTGTGCAAGGAGTGGCACTGACAACAGCGAGGTGGTCCTCTCTGCTGTGGTCGTCTGTGCATTTATACAGCGTGGAGTTGGTTGATTCATTTGCTTGTTTGTTTCTAACGTTGGGGTCTCTTTTGAAGTACCCATTATGAGGAACCTCTTGTGCTTTGCCAGTGTCTCGTGATATACTGTGCCAATGTATACCATGTGTATCAATCAAAAACATCACACATCACCGGAGATGCAGCTAATTAATCACAGACAGGGCTAAACCCAATTCCCCTTAATGGTCAGCCCACCCAGCGACAAACACTTGTGTATGCCACTGCGGATGAGGCCAATGCTGCATCGCACGGGCCTGGTATTCCAGTATAGCTTGGGGGACCGCGCGTAGGGAGGAAAAGCAGAAGCTCTAATAAGGAAAAGGGCTGCCCCAAGAGCAACACCAACACTGTTTCCAAGAGAGGTCAGTCCAGCCACAATGCATTCTCTAATTCATCATTTATTATAAACATCCCCAT